TGTCCCTGCTTGCTGAGTGTTTGTTTGTGGTATTTTTATTTTTAAAAAGCAGCTCTTTTGCACAGAACTGCTCCTGCACAAAACTCCTCTCTCTCTCTCTCTCTCTCTCTCTGTGTGTGTGTGTGTGCATGCAAATTTGATATATTGAAAAATGAGTACTTTGCTCAAGTAAACAAATGTCTGTGTGCATGCCCGCGAGAGCTCTCAGGGTTCCTGGCCTAGAGCGACACAGGCAATTTTTGACTGCTCTTTTGTGCAATTCATTGTAGGGTTTGAGATTGCAAGCCTAATGGGCTAGGGTAGCCATTTATGAGGCTGGCCACTCAAGAGGAATAAGTGCATCACCAAAAGTGGACAAAAGAAGGTGCCAATGTGCATAAAAGTTATATGCGCAGATGCAAATCTAAAAATGACTACTGTAATTTAAGTGGAAATATAGTGCATATCACCATAGTGGGCAAGACTGAGACCAGTTGACTTGTATGTCCGCTCATCTCCTGTCCAGGTGGTATCTGCTGATGGGCAACTTGAAGGTTCAACCTTCTTATGCTTCTTTGTTTTAAAACCAGGACCCAACAGCTTTCCAAAAGGAGGGCGGTGAACCTCAGGCCTGGGGTGTGTGAATGTGGCCCTCCACCCCTCTCTCTATGGCCCTTGGAATTCTCCCCAGGCTAAGCCCCTGATCTGAAGGCCACACATCTCACTGGCCCTGCTCCACACAGCCCTCAAGTGCTTTTTCCTAGCTAGAATGTGACCTGGCTAAGATAATGCCTCTTGCTTGCCTGCATGGAGGATGGAGAGGTAGAGTACTTGATGGCTGAACTACTGTTCTACCGTCGTTGGAAGTCGAATGGAATCCGTTCCGGAAGTCCGTTCGACTTCCAAAATGTTCAGAAACCAAAGTGCGGCTTCCGATTGGCTGCAGGAAGCTCCTGCAGCCAATAGGAAGCCGCAGAAGCCATGTCGGATGTTTGGGTTCCAAAGAACGTTTGCAAACCGGAACACTCACTTCTGGGTTTGTGGCGATCGGGAGCTAAAACGTTCGAGTACTAAGGCGTTCGGGATCCAAGGTACAACTGTATTAGATCACTGTTCAAAAGTAGAAATCACCTGTCTTGGTCCACCCACATTCACTTCTGTCCACACCCATCATTGGCATGCGGTCCCTGGAAAGTTGTTTTTGGCCTGAAAATTCCCCCTCTGCTCTGGTGGAATAGAGAACTATCCAGTGACTATCCTCTTCAAATAGAGGAACGTTCTGTGTGAAGTATAATACACATGGCCACACTACAAACAGTACAATCCTTTACTCAAAAGTAAGACCTGTTGTGGAGAAGGGGGCTTTTTCCCAGGAAAGCACTGATGTGTAGCTGTTTTGCATCATGTCAATTTAATTTTGGGGAATATTGTCTGTGCTGTTTTGAATTCCATTCTTGGTCACTAGGTGTCACTGGACAATTTAATTAGAGGACTGAAGACAGTTCAGTGACAGCCTGAGGGGTGGATGCAAAGCAATTGTGATTAATGCAAGGATACAGTTGTATCACTGGGATAAAAGCTCATAACATAAATAATAAATGCTACTTGAGAAATAGCCAGATACAACCCTAGATTATGAAACAAAAGATGTATGAATCAGCCAACGTCATTTCAAGTCAGCGAAAATGCAAATAAAGGAGAACTTAATTTGAAGCCGGAAATAATTAGGTAATAATAATAATAAGTTTTACAATCAAATTTCTTCTTTGGAGAAAAAGAAAAAATTAATTACTTTTTTTTAAATCCTTGGATAGATGAGATAAGTTCATTCTGTAGCTGGGTGTATTTGTGTGAGAGAGAGTGTGTGCAGTGCAAGAACTATTGTGGCTCTCTCTTCCAGTACTGCTATGTAAAACTTATGGCGAAGTGTGCTTGACATTGAACAGAAGTGGCACATTCCCTTTCAAGAGACTTCACAGTCAGTCAAAGAGTCAGTTCACACATTATAGACCAGGTGAAAATCTGATGCACGTACAGTACATGTATTCCATGCAATGTCTATTCCAGGGGAATATAATTTCTAGGAAAAGAAGGATGGCTGTGATTCATCTACAACAAATGAGAAGGATACTTGTTGATTTAATTAATTAATTTTAATTAGTAATTATATTGGACTATCAGCTCATATAGTGCTTTAAATTGTGGGTTCCAGGCCAGAAGAGCTTACAAGCAAGTGCCAAACTACATGTCATACTGGGTGAACCATGATTGATATCTCAGCATATTGTATATCTTTTTGGTTTCTTAAATTCAGACATGGGGAGAGGGGCTGCTAATATAATTACGGAGCAGTGCAGAGAAATCCACCCCTCCCCTGCCATCTTCCATTTACAGTCACCTTATTCCAATCTTCTATTGCTTTGCAAGGGGTGGGAGAGAGATAAAGACATGATAAAGATGCCTGTGTTTCTTTTCCTTCACAGCTTGAAATAGTAAAGCAGACTGGGAAAACAACACATATTGAAAAGCTTAGATTAGTCCCTAACTTAGTGCTGTTTTTGCAATCAAATTATGCATTTACTTAAAAAAAAAAAAAGTTCGGCCACTGATCTCTCCTGGCATGTGTCATTTGGCCCTAAATTCAGAACTCTCATGGGCACAGAGGGCATAAGGGGATAGCCATAATTTACGAAAGACTAGAAGTCATAAATTCTTGAGAAATGAAGAATTCTCCATGAGAGAAAGACAAAATTTCTACAGATTTTGCTAGTGGCTGTTAAGACTCTTCTTTTACAAAAACTGCAACATTTTGAAACCTTATTTGCTGTATCTGGATGTGATTAAATAGAGGTGTAAAACAGGGATCAGTGTACACACTTTGTGACTGTATACTGTTCCACAATATACTGGTAATGTGACCTCTCCCAATTAGAGAAATGTGTGCTTATCACTGATATATTAATGCTGATCTGCAAATTACAATTAGGTGTTTAATTAGCACACACTGAGGCACCCTGAATGCCTCATTAACTGATAATGTAAATTATCTGACTGAATATTAATTATCAACATTTTGTAACTCGACCCTTCGCTTGGCTACAATAGTGAACAAGCACGGAACAATTAACTATATCCTATGACCCCAACTACATTATCAGACTATACAGGTTTTTTTTGCCACTTTAGGCTTCTTCCAAAGAGCTATTGGAATTGTAGTTTGCTAAAAGTGTATTGACTTCTCTCTTAGATATCCCCAGAGCCTTCTCATGAAACTGCAATTCCCAGAGTTCCCCTTCTCTGGGAAAGTAAATGACTTAAAGTCTATTTGCGGCGATGCTCACTGTAAATATAGACTTTCGTTTGAGTAAAAGGAGCGGGCCTCTCCTCTCCTGGGGAGGAATAACATGAAGACACCTGTTATTTATAACTTGGCGTGTTAGATTTGGAATGGTCAGACTCATAACCGGGACCTGTCAAATGTTTCTCTCATTTTAGATCTGGTGTAGTGACTTTAAGTGTAATGGGAACCAAGAAGTCATTGGTTCAAATCTTGCCTTTTAACCATGAACTCAGCCTCCCCCTAGCATCAGGAAGTGACAGCTCAGCTCCTTGTCATTATTTTGTCCTTTGTGTCTTGGTCTGGATGACTTCCTCCTGTCATTTAACTGCATGCAAGTCCTTTTTGAAAATTGCATTTTATTTCATAAACATATGTTTTATTCGAAAAATGGTCCTGTATAGGTGTCTGCTGAAACATGACAGCTCAAGATGATTTCTGTGCAAAAAGAACAATCCTTCCACATGAAAAGAACAACAACGAGGAATGCATTCTATTGGTTTTTAAAATTCAAAGTAAGAAACGGATTAAGCCAGGCATCCTAACCCCACTTGCCTGGGAGCAAGCCCCACTGAATTCAGTGGGAGTTACCTTGGAACAGGCATGGTTAGGACTGCAGCCTCCATGCATATGGTCTTCTTCTAGCAACGAACAACTTACACAAAGTCAATAAATAGCCCTTTAGGGGAAAAAGAAAAGCAATAAGGGACCTGTCAGGACAGTGGCAATTGTACATCAATGAATATGCAAATGACACACATTGCAAAGCAATTTACGTATACATTCTCATACAATATGCAAAACATTGTAGAGAACTTAGCTGAAAATCATTAACAGCAAGAGTCCATGTGACGATTGGGGTTGAATGAGTGTACTGAAAGAAATCTAGCTGAATATCCATTTTGAGAAGATTCCTCCAACATCCCTTAACTACACAACAAAACATGTTCCCCTCTCCTGCCCCTAACACAGACAACAACCCAATGCCACTGAGCATGCTCAGTTCTCATTGGGTTTTTGGGGGGGAGGGGTCCTCCCAGCTTTGCTTCTTCTTCTCCTTTTCAAGGTTTGCTTCTGCAAACCTTGATTCTGGTACTTCCCTTTTGGGGGTGGATAGTGGCATTTTGCCTACCTTAGCAGAGTAGAGGACCTACATTTTTTAGGCTTGAACTGTTATGTGGGCCCCTTTGGAACCAACAACGAGGTCTGGGCACCCAGGGTTATCGGGGCTTTTTTCCAGCTGGTACTCGCCAGAACTCAGTTGTGGCATCTCTCAGGTGGGTGCCACTGCCTTTCCAAGAGAACGAGGGAAGTGTTCATGGTGAGTGCCAGAAACTCTTTTTCTAGAAAAAAAATAGCACTGATTATAGTTGTATTAAATTTATTGGGTATTGTATAGACATTAAGCTATGTATGGATGTATACTGCTGACTATGTTCTGTGTCATAAACTGCCCTGTGGTCTTGCAATAAAGCGCACTATATAAACTGTTTAAAACATTCCGGGCACCGTTGGCATTCTAAGAGAATGATGTGGGAATGTGGAGAACTGAATTTAAGATTGGAAAAATGTGTTAGCAGTCTAGTGCACACTCGCTACTCACTGGACTTCTTCAGAATTTATTTATTTTTTGCAGGTGTAAGGTGTACATATGGTGCTCAATCCCAGACACATTAATAGATTTCTCCATTGATTTTTATAAACAGCCTTGACTTTTTTCCCCCTGGGAACATTAAAAATAGCTCCTCCGTGTGAATCAGGAAATGAACTATCCAGACAAAGGGATTGTTTTTCTCTCAACCTTTCCCCCCATTCAATCCTTCCTCCTACCTGGTTTTTAGCCCCTGCCCCAAGCAGTCATTCAACATCCTGTAAACACAAAGCACTCTCGGTCCTAGCTGGGTTGTTTTGTGCCTGGGTTGTTGTGTTTTGGCTACATGGGCGATGGCAATCATCTCTGAATAACAGGAAAAGAGGGAGTGATACCCTCCACCAGTGGATCTGAACTTCAAATGAGGCCTTTGGTTCCAAAAAGTGGAATCTAACTGAGAACATCGCAGGTGCCTTTTATGACTTTGAGCAATGAGTTGAGTCAAGCTACCATCTTCTTGGAAGGGGTAAGCCATATCCCTAACTACCCTGTAACTCTATCTTGGACTGTGGCACTTCCAGAAATATTTTAGCAACTGGCAAATCTAAATTGCTGGCACTGAATCCCTTTCTGATAATGTTACATTCTGGAAGCTGTAAAAAGAAAGAAAGAAAAAAAGAAGTTTTGATATTTCGAAGAGGCCACAAACAGAAAACCAAATAGCACTTAAAATATTAACTCTACAAATGTATCTAACTTGGCTTCATTTCATCTCTTTCTTACTTAGTTTTCATCTGACTATGCTGTCTCTCCTCCACTCCCTCTCACCATGCTTTCCATCTAATTGAATTGAGTGAAGCTATGGAATTAATGCTGCGTAGGGGAAATATCCCATGTTGTGATTTTTGCTTTGTCTACACAATCTAGGAAATATGAGACATGGTCCAGATGCTGCTGAACTTCTTCAGCTCCCATCTGCCCCAGTCAGCATGGCCAATGGTCAGGAATAACGGGAGCTGACATCCAAAAAATCTAGAGGACACCAGCCTGAGAAAGGGTGGCACACTAACCTTGTGATGTGCTGAGTCCTCGTGTGATTTCCTCCCCTCATTTCCAAAACATATCATGTGCAGGTGGCATGTTAAGTATCCTGCTTTCCACCTCAGGAGGACACAGGAAATTGCTCAGTCAAAGCTTTGGTCCATCTTCTAACTCAATATTGTGTTTATTGACTAGATCTCCAGGATTTCAGAGAGAGGACATCCCAAGCTCTCATGGAGATATCAGGGATTGAACCTGGAAATGGTCTATGACAGATGCTAAGCTATGGCTCTTCCATTAGTTATCCAACCCAAGAATGACTTGGTGTGCTCTCCTAATTGAGTGGTAAGTTCAAATTCACACTCAGCTGTAAAGCTCACTGCCTGACTTTGGGCCTATAACTTTCTCTCAGCCTAAGGTACGCTGGGAGCAATACATGTACAATTGGAGTTCCATATATATATGTGTGTGTGTGTGTGTGTGTGTGTGTGTTGTCTCTCTGTTTTAATGGGCTTGGAGGGTGGGAGAGCATGTCACACGTGCCAGCAGCCTTGGAAACACTGCTTTGCTCAAACTTGATAGAAGGCGCATTTTCAGAGTCTCCATCTATCTCTTCGGTTGAGCTGGAAGGACCGCAAAACAAATGGGCCTCAGTTGAACATACCTTTTAAAAGAAGATGGGTGTGGTGAAGGGGCAACCCAGGGCTGATGCTCTTTCCTGACACAGTGCAAACACAAGTACCTTGAGCATCTCTGCGATCGCTCTCACCTGTAATGCAGATTGCAAGGCAATTGCCCACTGGACCTGCTGCAGCTGGCACATAATGGGTTGCCTATCCAATATGCAATCGGACTTTGGGTTGGTGCACTTAATTCAGCTTTGAGTTATCCAGACAAGTGACCTGACTGGAACAGAGGGGAAGAAATGCATGCAGCAGGAAGCAAGCGATGACACCACGCAGCAATAAAATTACAGTCTCAGCTAATAACCTTCTTGCTGCAGACTGTTTGAATTGTTCCAGCCCACTCTTTGCTAGTCATTGTTCATGACTTGGGGTCATTCTGTCTGCCTTTGCTCTCTGCTTGAACGGCAGCTGCTTCAAACAGGAAGGCTGTGCATCAAAAGCATCACGTTACCTGCACGATATCAGTGAAAAGATTTTTTATGGTTGCACATTTGTTGTTAAAAAGGCCCTAGCTCCCCTTTCCCAAAACCTTGCTATCGAGGGAAGTAATGGCCCAACTCAGCGTTTTTATTTACAGAACTGTTAGCTGCATAGAGTCTTTCACCATTCTGCCAGCTGTCATCTAATTATTTTTTATTTTAGTACAATGTCATATTCTAAAAATGGTTCACATGTTTCGTGGCTGATATCCAGCTATTCCTTATGAGGGGGACTTACCATTTTGTCAAGCAACAGGCAACAGTACAGGAATTAAAACTGTGGATCTTAAGCTAGTATTTGGTTTCCACCTTAACATTCACACAAGAGTATTCACTACAGCTAATTTTCTTTTATTGCTTTGAACTCATGCAGCAGCAGAGCAGAAAGAGAACAGGCTGTCGATTCCTGGATGTCATATGTCTGCGGAACTATTATGCATGGCCTATTATTTCCAGCAGAGTGGCAGAAGAAGGCAACCATACAGAGTCTCCCAAGGCCACATGAGGGTCACTGTTTCACTGCACCCAGGCAGCTAAATAGTCAGATAAAAGCTCCATGGCCTAGTTAAGGTACAAGTGTTCCCAATCCAGCTGTATAATTTATTATGGCCAAGTGCATCTCTGTGGTGCAGTAACAGCACTCAATGTCTGAGCAACTATGCTCACATTTATGGAGAAACTCCTACTCCAGTTGTCTCTATTTTCCAGGGACATTCGCAGATTTACAGAAAGAAGTTGTCCTGGTTTCTGATTTGATCCTGATATGTCCCGCTTTTCCTCAGAACGTTGCTATTTTCATCGGATAAATTTTGGAGGGTGTGGAGTTATGCAACCCCCAAGTCAAGGAGATAAGTAACTATACAACCTTTAGAAGACATCTGAAGGCAATCCTGTACAATTTTATTATGTTTTTATATACGTTGGAAGCCGCCCAGAGTGGCTGGGGCAACCCAGCCAGATGGGCGGGATATTCTTATTCTTATTTTTATTCTTATTCTTATTCTTGCCATCCCTATTTTTGTCACATTAATGTTGGAGGATAAAAAGGGACCCCTGACCATTAGGTCAGACCGTGATCGAGACTGGGGTTGCGGCACTCATCTCGCTCTATAGGCCGTGGAGCCGGCGTACAGCTTCTGGGTCATGTGGCCAGCATGACTAAGCCGCTTCTGGCGAACCAGAGCAGTGCATGGAAATCTTGTTTACCTTCCCGCCGGAGCGGTACCTATTTATCTACTTGCACTTGACATGCTTTCGAACTGCTAGGTTGGCAGGAGCAGGGACCGAGCAATGGGAGTTCACCCCATCACAGGGATTCGAACCGCCGACCTTCTGATCGGCAAGCCCTAGGCTCTGTGGTTTAGACCACAGCACCACCCATGTCCCTAATGTTGAAGGATATGCTATTGCAAAAAGTCAGTTTTATTTTTTAAAGAAAATGATTCAAACTAGTTTTCTGCACAGCCATGATTAAGAAACAGAACAATACATCGAAATGCGTAAATGCCTAATTATACCTTGATGGCATATGTTCTCTTTTTTTAAATGCAGCGATAGCTAGTATTCAATTTTGCGGTGAGATGTAATAATTCCTGCTCTTTCTGCCCCCTTAAGGGGCATATATGGAGCCATATATACACTTATCTGGGGATTAACTCCAAAGAATCAGTAGGACCTGTTTCTGAATCATGCAAGGTACATAGGAAGCTGCCTCACACCACTGGTCCATTTGGCTCAGTCTTGTCTATGCTAATTGGTTGCAACTCCCCAGGGTTTCAGACAGGGGTATCTCTCAGCCCTCCCTGGAAATGCCAGGGATTAATGATGGGACCACCTGCATGTGTTCTCCATTGAGCTATGGCCCTTTCCTAAGTATTGGGTGGGCCACGCATGTGTCAAAACCTCTAGCCATTGAGATGTGTGTGTGTGTGTGTGTCTGTTCTGTCTGCAGAAATATGTAGAATCAGGCATGCAATGCTTGCAACTTGACCTCTGAGCAAACTCCTTGGCAAAGTGCCTGGAAGCTTTATATAGTTACCAAAGATTGCTTGTTAAAATGTGATATTTTGGGACTCATCCTTTCCTGAAGGCAAGGCTGAAATTAACCACTTCCCCACATAGTCACTTTCAGCTTCCATGCCTTTGGCCGTGTTGCCCTTTTGCTTTCTCGCTGCTTGCAACAGCAAACTTGTCTCTGAGCACTGCTTTCTCAGGAATACACACGCAAACACAGATATATACAGACTAGTTAGCTGACTCAAAATGACAGGAGATTAAATTAAAATCCTGTTGATGATGAAACATTACTTACAGTCCAAGCTCCATTTTATTATATATTCGTTATGCCCTGCCAATTTGCAACAAATGCAAACTTGAAGTCATTTTGACATATTATTTGTTTATTCCTGACATTTCTAACCTGCTCCATCAGTCACACAGCTCCCGCTGCGGCTTATGAGAGATAAAATAATATAAAACAGGAAAACCCCCAGAATGAAACAACATCAGTGGGGGGGAAAAGGTAGGCTGGAGACTGTACTGATATTAGCAACTCCCAACACCAGCAACTCTTTGATAAAACAAAAATGCTTTTAATAACACTGGGCAACAATTTTTTACTTTTTGAATGTTGTCTAGATTTCTACAACTGATTTAGGGTATTTTTGCACTGCTGAATCAGGAAATGGCACCTGTTTTTCTCCATCAGGTCAGGTTTATTGTAAACTGAATGGTGGGCATTGATAAAGGTAAGTACATGTAAATTGCATGTTGCTTCACCATTTTTCAAACTTCAGGGCTTGAACTTCCGTTTCTTGGAACTCCTGGAATGCTCAGCGGCACGGAGGTCTCTCTTCAGAGTCCAACAGTAGTCAGCCATCATGGCTGCGTCCCAGCGACCCTGATACCTGGTCTCCATCTCTTTCATGTCCTGATGGAATCTCTCCCCCTGCTCGTCACTCATTGAACCCAGGTTCTCAGGAAACTGGTCCATATGTGAAAATAGGTAGTGCATCTTGACACTCATGTTTGCAGCCCAGGTTTCTGAAAGCAGTCAGCATGTTGTTGACAAGTTCTGCGTAGTTTCTGGCCTTATTGTTGCCAAGAAAGTTCTTCACTACCAGAACAAATGCCTTCCACGCTTCCAGTTCCACTTCGTTCATTGAGTTTCCGAACTCTGGATCTCTGATGAGCTGACGGATCTGAGGACCGTCAAAGATGCCAGCTTTCAACTTCTCCATGGTCAATCCTGGAAAAGCCTGGCACAAGTAAGTGAAGCAGTCACCATCCTTGTCCAGAGCCTTGGTGAACTGCTTGATTAAGCCGAGCTTGATGTGCAGCGGTGGGAAGAGTATTCTGTCTCTGTCCACCAGAGGGTCGTTGATGATGTTCCTTTTTTTTGCAAGGCACCAATTCCTCCCGCACAGGCCAGTCCTTCTTCGTGTAATGCTGAGCACGGTCCCTACTATCCCACATGCACAGAAAACATGGGTACTTGGTGAAGCCAGACTGTTGTCCCAACAAAAAGTTCACCATCTTCAGGTCAACGCAAATAAACCACTTATGCTGATCATAACCAATTTTCTCCAGCACATACTTCACCGCTTCATAGTTCTCCTTCAGTGTACTCGAATGAGCCAGAGGTATAGAGGCAAACTGGTTGCCGTTGTGTAGCAGAACACATTTCAGTGATCGCTTGCTGCTGTCAATGAACAGTCTCCAATCTTTGGGTCCGTACTGTGGCACTCCAAGCTTGAGCAGAAGCTGCGCAATATCTGCACAGTACACTAAGTCCTTCTCTTCCGAGAAAAAATGGAGGTTTTATGACTTCAAACTGATCCCTTTCTGACATAATCACCCAGAACTATCGGACCTGAATACTTCTTGTCATTAAAATAATCATTTCCAATCAAAACAATTATTCGACGTGGCATTTTATCCCCACCAACTTCTTCTAAAATGCTCCACACAAGTGTACATGTGAACATAAACGTAAAAAAAGACATGTGGCCATAGCTCAAAAACTTGACCTGATTGAGCAAAACTAATGTGATTTTTGGGTTCAGCGCATCATATTCATCCTAAATCAACTGAAAAAACGCAGACAACAAATTTGTTGTTGACCAGTGTAATCATTCATAGATATCAACTGAATGACCCGTTTAAAAAAGAAAAAAGAAATCCAGCATTTGTGACAGATCTGGAATGGATCCTCAAAATTTCCATTTGTGTGAAAACTATTTGAGCATCAATCCCCTTCTCTGTGGAAGGTTTTTAATCATGTTTTCTGTCAGGCACGACAGAAGACTGAGAAACCGCTGTCTCATTCTCAGTCATGCATACAGATGCTGATATTCTGCCAACATATTGCCCATGACAGTGATCATTAGCTGCAGATAAATTTTAATCACAATAACCAGGTTCATCACAGCTCAGGCAGACACAAGTAGCCCCTTCCTTCCATTCTCCTAATCTGCAGGGGTAGAATTCCAGAAATGCAATGGGGTCTTGGAATGAGCCCATTTACTGGTTAGCAGCAGTGGCGGACCTTGGGGTCTCAAATTTCAGTGGCTTCCTGTGCGACACCAAGATTTGGTGGCCCCCGCCTCTCTCCTTCCATTCTACAGCATAGTTATGGCACCCTGAGGCTTCAAGCCCAGTTCAACTGAACCGGTCATCTGCAGAGTATACCAATGGAACTATTTTCCCACTGGGCGCATCCAGTCATTGGTGTGGATGGGGAAAAGCACACTTATTCTCCCATGTACAGTTGATTGAAGGTGTGGATAGTAAGCTCCAAATTTGCTCCAAAAAAGCAAAAAGAAAAGAACTATTTAGATAAGTGAAGAAATTGCAACAGACACTTCATCTGGTCCAAACTGGAGCAGCCATATACAGACCCTCCAATTCTCCCTATTTTCCAGGGAGAGCCCTGGATTTACAGAAGCTGTCTCAGCTTTTGATCCTGGAATGTCCCGCTTTTTCTTAGGATGTCCCTATTTTCATCAGAGAAATGCTGGAAGGTATGGAGTCATTCAAGAGGGACACGGGTGGTACTGTGGTCTAAACCACTGAACCTAGGGCTTGCCAATCGGAAGGTTGGCGGTTCGAATCCCCGCGACAGGGTGAGCTCCCGTTGCTCAGTCCCAGCTCCTGCCCACGTAACAGTTCGAAAGCACGTCAAAGTGCAAGTCAATAAATAGGTACTGCTCAGGCGGGAAGGTAAACAGTGTTTCTGTGTGCTGCAGAGTTGTCCGCGACTGGACTTAATGGTCAGGGGTCCATTTACCTTTACCTTTATGGAGTCATTCAACCCCTGAGCCATCTGAAGGCAGCTCTGTATGGGGATGTTTTTTAATGTTTCATGTTTTAGTATGCTTGTATATATGTTGGAAGCCACCCAGAGTGGCTGGGGCAACCCAGTCAGATGGGCTATATATAAATATAAAAAATATTATTATGAATATTATAATGGAATAGGGCATCCCTATTTTTATCGGAGAAATGTTGGTGCATATGCATATATATGACTGGTTGAGGTTCATAAAATCCCTGTTTTAAAACAACTGTGCAGGTTTCGAGTTGGTTTCCAGGTTCAATTCAAGGTGCTCATGTTAGTGTCTCCATCCCTCCTGATGTTCTCAGGTATTAAGATTAGCAAAGGGTGCTCTCTTGCCACAGCCCTCAGAAGTGCAGGGAATGGTGACCTAGGAAATAGCTTTTTACCCTTTACCCTGGTCACTGACAGTTAAGTATTTTGTTTTGTGGGACCCACCTCTCTGCTGAATTTGCACTTTTCTAGCTGCAAGGATTTTACTTCTTTTTGTAATTCTAACTGGTTTATCTGTTTTGGGACACTATATTGTTGTAAGCTGCCCTAGAACCTTAAGCTGAAGGGCAGGTAAGAAATCTTATGAACAAACAAACGCAGGAAACTGTCTTATACAGAGTCCATCAAATTTAGACCATCTAATTCAGTATCAACTACACCAGGGTTTCCCAAACTTGGGTCTCCAGCTGTTTTTAGACTACAACTCCCATCATCCCTAGCTAGCAGAACCAGTGGCCAGGGATGATGGGAACTGTAGTCTCAAAACAGGTGGAGGGTCTTCACTGACTGTTAAGATTTGGACAGGGGTGTCTCCCAGCCTGACCCAAAGATGCTGGAATCTGAACATGGAACCTTCTGTTTGCAAAGCAGCTGCTCTGCCACTGAGCTACAGCCCTGTGTCTGAACTGAGCAGGTCACATAGGAGCAGGAGGCGATTTCATGAAAATGTTCACATTGCCATAAGGATCCCAAAGTATCTCATGGAAGCCATGAAGAGTTGTACACTTCAAGCATTTTTCTGCCCCTGATGCCTCAATCTCTGTTTATATTATTGATGAGTTTTGGTCTCCCTTGTGTATTCGTATATGCAAAAGTATATCCAGCACATCCTAGTCTAATCCATCATCTCAGTTCATGCTGCAGTCAAAACAATAAAAATTAAACGCTACGTTGCTGCAGTGAAATAAAATCCTAAAAAATTGGCTGCAATTCCCCCCCCCTCCCTGACTGGCCTTCCTTTTCTGAGCTCATGGCAAACAAATGAATCAACGCCACCCCACTCCTCAGATCACTTAAAAATTAACGACACATGTAACTTATCACGTGTACCTTCTGTCTTATGAAACGTATGGGGTTTTATTTTATTTTTTAGTAGTTTCTGTTGCTTGTATTTTTCCTTCCAAAAGCAGGCATCCAGGTTTCTATCTGAAGCTCACCCTCCTCTGCACTTCTCCAATCCTATTAATATATAAGTGGCAAAGCTTTGATGAGTTATTTTCAGTGCTTAGAACATCTTAAGGCTTTTAAAGTGTCCTCCTGGTCTTCCATCTTATCGGCATGCAGTAGATTCCTGTGTGGAGGAGCAGTAAGCACATTTGCAGGCCTAATGTCATTTAGCTAAAGAAAGGAGAGTGGCAGGATGTGTTTTGGGAAATTTCACAGATGCAGGAAGAGACCGTCTGCACAAAATAATCCCATCTAAGAGCAGAAGTAAAGAGAATGTTTAAGGAGCAAAGGGATAGACAGAGAAGCATTTAGTTTGCATTAAAAATACAACACGAAAGCTGCGCCAAGTCAATCAGTATTCTGCACAAATAAATAAATAAAGGATTCTGCTGTGAAAATAAATTATACAAGTTTAACACAAATTTCTTCCTCATTTTGCATAATTCATTACATCACGTAGAATTATGAAGCCCCACCCAATGAACCCAAGAAATACTGTTCAGCTGCCACTGGAAGCTGAAACATCAGTTTAAGTGGGTTGATGGGACTGTGTAACTGGGAACTAAAGCGAAAAGATGCAACTTGGTTGTGTTCAACAATAAAACAGTTGCAAGCACATCACCAGAGTGAGAGGTGGGCAAATCTCTCAGCATCTCATTTCCCCCCATATTAATTTAATTTATCAATTTCATAAAATTTGTATACTGCTTAGAAGTAAAAAAAACCACGAACAAACCTTAGATCAGTTTTAAAAAAGAATAAAACAATATCATTACCAGTAAAAGCAGTTAAAAGCACTATTTAATACATTCAAAAATAATTAAAACCAATGATAGACTAAAAGCGGATTAAAACACAACACAATCTTAAATTCTGTTCTCTGCATTTCCACATCAGTTTGTGATTTTTTTTAAAAAAAGAAAGTCCTCATGAAAATTCAATAGCAATTTCTCCTAATTTACCATTTTCACAAAACATTTTCACAAAACCATTTCCCCTAATGTGATGCATTTTCGTATGTTATTGTCACTAATATGTGCATTTTTATGCATGCTTTATCCCAGTGTATGCATTTGCTTGCACATGACTTGGTTGGACAACTGCATTGCAAAATTTGTAGAAGTGTGAATGTCAAAGGATGGCTGCGTTTAGGTTTGCCTATTGTTTCAAAAAGTTTTATTTACATAGTTTTGCACTTAGATGTGACCTGAATCAAACTTCTCCTGCATCGCTAACTCAGGAGGTTTTATATGACAATAAATCTCTCCCCAAGTCCACCAACTTGAATACATGTATCTACAAGGCTCCATCAGCAACACGAGTTACAAAACAACAACAACACATTCTTAGGGATGGCCAAAGTCCCTCATTTGTTAGGTGGAAAATAAGCTGGGACTTTTTCTAGTAGGCCCAGGTAAGACTTCACCAATGGGAGAGGCAGGCCATACTTGAACCAACTGAGGAGGGTCTCAGGTGGTCCTTTTGGAAAGCCTAAATGTCACCTGGAAGCAGCCATTCCATGCACCAGAGGAAGAGATGGGAAGCAGGGCCATTCTGTTGGTTCAGCTGAGAAACCAGCTCCACACAGGTCTTCCCTCAGTTGCCATGTGGCAGCAGCCATTCCACGAGACTGCAGCAAAGGAGTTGAGAAGGTAAGCAGAACCATTGCACTGGCTTAGTGGAGAGACCAGCCCAATTTGTCTCCTCCTCCTCGCCTTAGTTTTTCCCTCTCCTTCCTCCCACAGTCCAATTTCCTTCTGAATCTTGTGGACTGTAAACCTGAGGTAAACAAAGCCCTGTTATTGATCTCTGGGAGCTTTTTTGGCTGAACAATGGGCCAAAAATGGGTCAAATAGATAAATAAGCCCAGTGCCAACTTCCATTTAATGAAACAACAACTGAGTAAGTAAATTAGCACTGCTGAAACATTTCGTAGTTCGTTTCGTCAGTCGCTCATTTCTAAATCCTGAAGGAGTCTGAATAATGTAATATTTAGCTGGGGGTCTTAGTTTCATCTACTAGATTGACTGGGATCCAAAGTAGTCCTCAAATTGTTCCATATGTCCAAAGAGGCTCTAGGCTTCCATTTCTCTAGCAGCTGCTCCCCCTCTCCTCCCAGCGCTACCACATGGCAAACCACTTTTGAACCTGATGAGACTTTCAGAAGCAGTTTGTGATATGGCATTGGATCCTCTGTTTAAAGAAAGAGAAGTCCAAAAATACCGCAGATCATGCTCAGCCCTAGCGTGCGCCAAAGTCACTCTTTGGAGTCTAGCCAGGAACTATGGATGCAAAAGTCTCTTGAACTCAAGCACATCACGAGCTCTGATAAACTCAGTCCACTGTGCAGTTTAACAGATCCGCCAAAATAAGTGGTTTGAAACTCTCGTGGTGGCAGCAGAGCCCTCAGCAAGACTCGTCATAGTTGATTGCACTGCCAGGCAATCAACTGTCAGAGAAGCCGTAATGTAAAGCCAAGTATTTTCTCAAAATGAACATCAAAGCTACACCGGGAAGATTATTTGCAAGGCAAGAAAGGCTTGTTCTGTGACAGAGGCCTGTTAACACCGGTCCCTGCTAAGGCTGTGCCATGTGATTTATGATGCAGCTGTTCTCATCTCAACTGACAGGTCTCTATTCCAGCGGACAGGCAATACTTGCAGCACACAGGAGGACAGGCTTAAAACACGGGCTGCTCGGCTACATTTTGGATTCGGTTAATGGCTCTTGTCAAATGTCTTGTACGATCTGGAAAATTTTGATGTTTTAAAAACGTGTGTGAGAAAGAAATGGCAGCTATTAGAAATTACAGCTGCTGACATCATTTTTACTTGCCTCGTTTGATTTGTTTGTAAGCGTATTATTTCCCAGTTACTGCAAGTTCTGGGGCATAAAAATTATCCAGAATGTGTCTAATCCCGCCTATGGGAGCATGGCTGCTTGATAACAAATTGCATAGAAACTTCTGTTACATAGAAACAGCACATATAAACTTTGAGCAATAGCTCTTCTGAAGACACTATACTCAGCATTACCACTAAAAACTTAGGACAGCTTTTGCCAGCTTTCCACATGCTGGCTGGGGCTGATGGGAGTTGGATTCCAAAACACCTGGAGTTAGGCACCAGTTAGGGATAGCTGGGACAGCATGCCAAAGCCCAGGGGATAGCACTTTGGGGACAAACTAGACAACGCCTGTGCCCTTTGAGGCAGGGTTGCTGTTTTTCAAAACAACAACAATCCAAATTGCTAGCATGGGGTGGCCTGATCTTGATCGTGTCCCTAGCATGAGGGGCAGAGGGCTTCAGTCCTTTCTCCCCAGCTATGATCTTGATTTGGATTGGGAGGAGGGCATGACAACAACAGGGATTGCAATGTAAGTGAGTGTTCCCATCCCTATGCAAATATCAGTATCAGGGAGGAATCCCTTTAAAAATTGAGACCATACTGAATGCAAAGGGTTAATGCCCCTCTACTTCCCTGAGTCAGACCCTCTGCGCTCAGGACCAGCAAAGTGAGACAACCACCTTGGGCAGCAGATGCTGGGGGTCAGCAATGACAGCTAGGTCTTCTGAGTGCTCCCTTCTGTTAGAGGATGAAGTGCTCTTATGTGCTTATGTACAGTACCACGTGACCTGTCCTGGACTCCCACAACTAGCCGGCTACCCTCAGGTGCATGGAGGACACAAACACATTGTCAGTCTTGACATAAGATTCAACTGCCGGTCCAACAGGTTTCTGTGTCTGGAATGCAGGTGGGGGCACCATCTAGACCTTCAGCTCAGGCAGAAAAATTGCCTTGGGCCAGCCCCATCCACACTGACAATTTGAGTTAAAAAAAACCTGTGCTTAAGGGTACAGATATATTACCATCTAGCTTGGCCCTCAGTCTCCCAGAATATTCTGTAGCAGACCTTAAAGGCACACAAGGCACCAACAGAGAAGTGTCAAAGGAAGACTCCAGGGTGAAGTCACTGGATTGGGATTAATTAGCAAATTTGACCCTGTGGAATTTGGCCTCTACGAATGACTAGCTGGCTGCAGAACCTAATTGCTCCTCTCTATACTATTTATCTGGCTACATCTATTTATCACCAGTAGTGGGGAATGGGTTGCTCCTAAGCAGACTGGACAATGCATCCATTTGATTGGTCTCTGAATTCACTTTTGTGCTTGGCGTAGTCCTGCGTACTGGTGCCTTTTTGCATTGCTTGACCTTTCAGCCTCACTTTGTGAATCGGATGAAGTGGGCTCCCTTGCCTACAAAAGCAAAGCTTAAATGCAGACCAAAATATGTTTGTCTTTAAAATGCCACAAGATCCTTTGCCGATGCAGAGTGCGCTACATTTGGCTCTGCAGCACATCATCACAGTGCACAAGATGTAATGGTAACCCTGAAGCTGCTTGTGAAATTTTTAAATCTCTGGTATATTTACCGAAGTGAAAGCGTTTATTAAACTCAGAGCAGCAATTACACCACAAGTCTCTGGCACATGTACACACACACACACACAGAGAGAGAGAGAGAGAGAGAGAGAGAGAGAGAGAGTCTAGGAAGGGCTACGTGAGGAATATTATTTCAAGATCTGATCCTTTCTGAATGGCTGCTATTGCCTTGGGATGCCCCAGGTGCATGGCTTATGTGAGTTGGTTCAGTAATTTCAAATCATCTTTTGGCATCTAAGGCTGCTCACAGGAGGAATCACTGTTCACTGGAACTCTGCCAAAAAGAAAGTTAATAGTTCTTTTTATTGAATAAATAGTAGGGCGTAAAAGGGAGGTATGGACTGCTGCTGTGTGATCTCCATTAATTCCAACATAGGATATTCAGTGAAGCTATATAACTCCCTTCTCAATGAATAGGGTCAAACGGCACCAGTGATTTGCAGGTTGCACCAAAGGTTTTATCTAATGAATCATGGATAATAATACAATAATAAAGGTAAAGGGACATCTGACCATTAGGTCCAGTCGTGTCCGACTCTGGGGTTGCGGCGCTCATCTCGCTTTATTGGCCGAGGGAGCCGGCGTACAGCTTCCGGGTCATGTGGCCAGCAGGACTAAGCCGCTTCTGGCGAACCAGAGCAGCGCACAGAAACGCTGTTTACCTTCCTGCCGGAGCGGTACCTATTTATCTACTTGCACTTTGACGTGCTTTCAAACTTCTAGGTTGGCAGGAGCAGGGACCGAGCAACAGGAGCTCACCCCGTTGTGGGGATTCGAACCGCCAACCTTCTGATCAGCAAGTCCTAGGCTCTGTGGTCTAATCCACAGAGCCACCCACGTCCAATACAATAATAGGGCATGTCATTTTCGGGAGTGAAACTTATTTTTTGAAAATTTATTCAGTGAGGGGTCTTAAAAATATGTTTTTGGGTGTGGGGAATTAAAAATCTGCTATTATTCCTGTTATCAGACAACATTTGGCCTGATAAGTCTATGTTTAATGAATAAACACATAAACTGCTTTCAGAAAATCCAAGAATTTTAATTTTATCTTCTGAAAATGTCAGGTGATGCTTAATAATAATAATAATACATAACTACAAGTACTTAGCAATCATTTTAAATGATTTCTATGCATTTTTACACAAATTTTACTTACCAAGGAAAACTAAATTATATTAATTTAACCAAAATATATTTTGAATTCCCAAGTCATGTTACAAATTTTTAGCACCCATCCTTTTTGGAATTTGAAAGTTGAAAAATTCAGCATGTCCTAATATAAACATTACTCCCCACTCTACACACAGTCAAGGTAGGAGACAGGATTAGAAATGTAACCATTACAGTTAATGACTACAGTCATGTCCTCAATTAAGCACAGTTGAAGGGAACACACAGTTGTACAGATGCACAGTTATAACGGCCTGGTTTGATAACCTTATTTTGGGTCCTTATTTTTTCATGACTGAAGAGATTTGTATCTCTAAATATTGCTATTACTCACATGAAACCTGATTGGCTCACAAGCTCTTGAACAGAGCTCAGCTTGAGTGCAAGCTCAATTACTGCAAAATTCAACACCATCCCTAGTGCCCAGGAATGTAAGGGAAGGAGAGGCAGTTTTCACCAGTTCCCCTTTCCCCTGCATCCCCTGAAAATCAGTTCCAGAAGACTGGAGGAACCTCCAGAAAAGTAAGGAGCATGGCACTAGGGGGCTGCCGAGGAGATAAAGGTAAAGGTAAAGGGACCCCTGACCATTAGGTTCAGTTGTGGCCGACTCTGGGGTTGCGGCGCTCATCTCGCTTTATTGGCCGAGGGAGCCGGCGTACAGCTTCTGGGTCATGTGGCCAGCATGACTAAGCTGCTTCTGGCGAACCAGAGCAGCACATGGAAACGCCGTTTACCTTCCCGCCAGAGCGGTACCTATTTATCTACTTGCACTTTGATGTGCTTTTGAACTGCTAGGTTGGCAGGAGCAGGGACCAAGCAACGGGAGCTCACCCCGTCGCAGGGATTCGAACTGCCGACCTTCTGATCGGCAAGTCCTAGACTCTGTGGTTTAACCCACAGCGCCACCCGTGCCGAGGAGATAGAGGATAATAATTAAAAAACCCTTCATTTCTCTAACATTAGCATATGCTTCTGATGAATCAAATGCCATTCTGCAGACAGAATTTCACCCAATCTTTGCAATGATTTTTTATTGCAGCAGAAAGCATAAAATTAGAAACTAGGTTTGCTAATGAGTTCAATTAAGCTGTCTTCAAGCTATTCAGTGGAAATAAACCAGAGGATACCTGCCTATCATGCATCTCAGTTTGAAAAAGAGAGGTCTTACGATCAAATCTCTTACTAGGATATGTTGGGCATTCGAAGACTGCATGTGAATTTAAATTTTTGCCTGATCGACTATGTGAGCAAATTCCCTCATTAAAGTATCTGAAAGTGGAGATGATTTTCCACTACACTGAGAGTAGTTAATCTCCAGACACATTTAAATGAAGAGTCAATTTTAAACACATGTTCGGTGCTGATATATTTTTCTCTGTAGGCATCTTTTACATTGCTTTATAGCATACAGTCGTGACAGCTAGTTCCCAAAAGGCAAATCAGTTACCAGATTTCCTTTCTCATGTAGAATATTTGCAAGTCCTTTGCTTTCCAATACATAGGAATTCTGCCAACCTGCTTCTCTAATATGTCCTGTTTTAGAAACTTATTCCAGAGCCTTCCCAGAACCTGGAATTTGTGCTAAAATCTAAATAAACAAATAAATCTCTGTGTGAGTGCAAGGTTTTGCATCTGGGCTTATACTTTGAATATTTTTTATTAATTCATATATACACATGTGTTTATATCTATAAGATTTTGCAGACTTTGGCTGTGAACTGGGGCTCTACAAAAAAAAAAATTCAAGTTGCACCCCACTGCTTCAAATTGGCCCCCACTGGCTAGCCCTGAGTCTCATAGTTGCTGGGCCTGAGTTACCCTGCCCTTGAATGAAGTCTTGGGTTTACAATTTTGGGAGAGGGGAGACTGCGGCACTGGGGAGAGGGCAGACTGGTGAGACCACCTAGATTTAGAGGCCCAAGTTGTCCAGCCCTCACAGCAAATGCAACTGGAAATGGGCACTGCTTCCCCTCACCTTGAGAATTAAATACGTCAGTCCTCCTATTGTGTACTCTCGCCCTTCTTTGGTTGCATGCATGGTTTACAAAGCCTGCCCATCATGTCTGAGCAAAGGCAAACAGCAGCACAAAAGTGATAATGCACGTACAACATCTCTTGCAAATCCCACTCAATTCTCCTGAAAGCAATTGACTGACTACCTAACAAGAGGCAGAGTCCCACATAAGTCAGCTGCAGCCATTAAGTGGGAGTGTCAGAACTGAGGGTCACACCAGAAATATATTTGTGCTGGCGGAGGAGCCCTGCTTAGATTGACGGAGCCATTTCCAAAGTCTGGCACTTACAGAATTTGCAAGACTTGTTATCTTTCGGGGACTTATAAACAAAGCACTTGTTGCCTAGCAACCGACGGCAGCCCAACAGTCAGTTTAAATATATTTTAACATCTTTGTGTGGGCCTGACGTGTGGGTCACAGCAGTAATACTTGCCATCTCTGATATTTGGGAGAAGGATAATAGTTTAGTGGTGAAGCATCTGCTGTGCGTTAGAAGATTCCAGGTTCCACCTGCAGTTTTTCCAGGTGGGGGCGGGCAGGTCCCATACCTGAAACTGTAGAGAGCCGCAGCCAGTCAGCATCAGAGAGCTTGCTACATTCCTACAATGGGCAAAAATTGGTTTATTTATTGGAAACTTCAGAACGACACTACCACTGTATCACCTCCACGGATGGCCAAATCTGTTAATTCTGGCTTCTGTTTCTCATTTCTCTCTTTCTCTTTCCCTTTTCATATCAATTTGTGTGTTTTTTTCCTCAAGCAAAGTCATCAACATTTTAGTGCAAACTTTTTCCTAATATAAACGTATTTCCCCTAATATTTCTACTTTCCTCAATATAATGCACTCTTTTATGTAATTTTTAACATTATAAGCATTTTTCGTACACTTTGCCTTCATATATGCATTTTTTTGTAGCCATTACTTGCTAAGAATATTACATACAGTGTGGGGTGACGGAACTACATCATTGCAATATTTACCGGAGGTGGTGGAGTGTGTGTCAGTAAGCTAGCCAGCTACACTGATTCATAAATATATGGGGAAATGCTCATTACAATATTATGAGCTCAGCATATATGCTGATTTTTTTACAAAGGTAGCAGAAGATAGCAGCCATACATTCACTTTAAAGCGATGCTAGCAAGGAGAGGGTTATCAAAGGATCCTGAATTATAAAACAAAGAAGGGGAACCAGTTATTCTTAGTTTACCCTCCAGCTTTCAAAAGTAGAAGATGAAAGCACCTTGCATTAAAAGGAATCTGCTGAATGTACAATCCCGCTACATTCATGGGTTTTATAAATCTGTTTTAAGTCATCCCTGTAGGCTTAAGGAACAAGAAGATGCCAATCTGTATACGCTGGTGGCTTTTATTATTTCACACAAATTTAAAATAGTTTTGCAAGGCAGTTCCTAACATAACTTACAGTATATAACATGGGTACAGATTATATACTAGGAATCCCAGCTCCTGCTCCCTCCAAGTTCTGCACATTAGGGCTGAGCCCAGGGGTACTTCCCCCTGGGCTAAACTATCCTTTCCAGGCTCCACCCCATTCCCGAAGGGCAAAGAGCCCCCTAACAGTTTGAGGCAGGTCCTGGCTGACTGGCTGCAGCTAAGGCTCTGTGTCTGGTCCTGGAATATCTGTGTCCTGTGCTGCTTGTCTTCCTGATCTCGCTGGTTCTATCCCTCTGTACTAGAGTCCTGGCTACTGCTCAGGTAATAATACAATGCCCCCACTCTGAATTGGCTCCATGTATCCGGAGCAAATGTTGTCACATGCCCAAGTCTGATTGGTAACATAGATTCATGACATCATCTAGTTCATTCTGGGATCCCTGGTTAGCTGGGATTGTCCATGTAATGATTCCCAGGAAGAAGAAGACCCGATAATTCTACAGTGGTGGTTGGGAGCTATGCCAAGCCAACAGCAAACCAGAGAAAAGATGCAAGTGAATAATTTATTGGGACTGCATAATTCATAGGGGTTACACACACACACATTCGAAGCACTACAATCTTCATTCAAACCAAAGAAAACACATGAAGAATCAGAGACTGAGGAGTTAGGTATCTTAAACACATTGCAATCTCAGTTTGATTTAGCAGGCCATGCTGACTCCTCTGGAAAGTGCAGAAATAGCAAGCCCCAGCAAACACAGGAAATCAGGAAAGGAACAGGAGTATATGACTATCTAGCAGTTCATGGTAAGAAGTGTTGAAAAAAGTGCTCCTTTTCCATTGCAGGCAATAGTTTGAAAAGCGATTGAGCAAAAACCAACTCCCTCTGCACAGCACAACCAAATAAAGGCTTCATCCAATAGGAAATCTACAGGCATATTTCCTATTTCCACTATGAATGTTTGCCTGGTGTAAGGGCCTTCCTAAGAGCTGATCCAAGCAAGGGCTGCGAACCTAAGTATTCAAGTTAAGTTTCACTTTCACAGCATTCCTGGGAGGCAGGGCATTTATTTCACAGCGCCAGCTAACCCTGTGAATTCCAAGGCATCTTTAGAAGCAGTTCCCATCACTGATGTCTGCAGACACCTGCTGGGCAGATATTTAGCAGTGCACTATTTAGCAGCACACTATTAACCTTTAGATGTTTTTGGTTTAGTAGAACAGGCATGGAGAGCTTCCACCAAACAGAACATCCAAGCTCAACAAAGCTGTTCTTTTAGGCTGGGTTTTTCTTTTGCAACTTGATATAGCACTTTCGCAGATAATCGTTTATCACATATTGGGCACACTTCAGTTTATTCCAAGGTAAATAAAATGGACTACAGTTGCATTACAGATCTTCCTTTAATGGACAGCAGCATGTATCCTATTGACACAATTTGCTGGCATTCGTTCCTAAGCTGATTTCTTTGAACGTAAGCCCAATTCATTTCTCTTGAGCGTTTTTCCAAGACCACAGCCAAAGTAAAAATACAAAATGTAACCTACGGCAGTGATGGGCAGTTCTCATCAACCCAGACAATGCTGGCTGAGTCTGATGGGAGTCGGAGTCCATCAACCCAGAGGGACACAGTTTGCCAACCCCTGACCTATAGTATAAAAGGGTGCCATGGATTTCACCAACAGACTGAGTATAAATAATATGGGTGCAATTGAATGTTCTGCTATTAGAATCATTATACAGTGGTACCTCGGGTTACATACGCTTCAGGTTACATATGCCTCAGGTTACCCACTCCGCTAACCTAGAAATAGTGCTTCAGGTTAAGAACTTTGCTTCAGGATAAGAACAGAAATTGGGCTCCGGCGACGCGGCGGCAGCAGGAGGCCCCATTAGCTAAAGTGGTGCTTCAGGTTAAGAATGCCAGTGTTTGTAAAAAGCAAAAAAGGAGGAAAAGGTTCTGACCTCCCTTTGTCTCCTCAGCCTGGTCCTCGGACCCTTGTCGGCATAAAAGAGTCCACGAGAATATCCTTGCAGAGTTTTATTCTTAAAAGTCTTTGTGCAAAAGCGACTGACTAACTATACATACATCACCACTACCAGCTTTCACTAACCAACCAACCCCAGCACCAGCACCAAACTAACATTTCTCACTCTATATATACAACCTGGTGCCGGCTGCTGACTCATGCTGACCCAGCTTTATTTCCATTAAAGAAACAGCGGCCATTTTAGCCATGACAAAGAACAGTTTCAGGTTAAGTACGGACCTCTGGACTGAATTAAGTACTTAACCTGAGGTACCACTGTACCAGCACAAGCATTTTAGCTTTCCAGAGAGAATGATCCTTCCTCTCCCCACTGCAGGCTGTTCGGGGAGGGGGGAATCTCCTGATCCCACAGACATGTGGGGGGACATGGTGAGCTCACAGGGGAAGGAAGTAGGGGAAAGTCCAGTCGTACTAGCAGAACACATTGCAGTAGTAGGAGCTATTTAGCTGAATCTGGCCCTATAAATTTGGATGAGTACTTTAGGTCTTGCTTTAGATTTGCTTTTAATGCTTTTTCTTATCTCTATTTTTTTAATACATAAGTTGCTTTGAGACAACTGGTGTAAAAAGCAACAAATAAGAGAGATATGAGCCACGCAACTGTGCAAAAAAGTGTGCTTAATTATCAAAGTGTTTCTACAGATAAATCACCACCTTTTAACTTCGCTTATAAACATCACCAATATCCTCCCAGTTCCTTCTAGGAATCTAAAGAAGCTGCCATATAAATATGTCTCCTAGCAGGAGCATTCAAGAAAATGCTGAGCCCAACGGAAGCCACAATTAATGATTTACGCACACCCTAGCCAGGCATCTCTCAGGCTCAGCAAGGGAAGAAAGATTCATTGATCGCTGCTCCCTGGAGCACAAACCAGCTGTCAGAAGCCAATTTATCTCTCTCTTTCCCTGCCTCTTTTTTCTGAAATGCATGATACCAGGTGGAAAGGGGGAAGAAGCTGCTGGACATGGAGATGACTGGGTGCTCTGCAGAAGTGGGCCTGAAGCAGGGGTAGGGAAGCTGTGACCCTACATGTGTTGCTAGACTACATCTCCCATCAGCCCTGACAATGAATTGGTTGGATAGGGCAAAGGCTGATGGGAGTTGGAGTCCAGCAACATCTGGAGGACCACAACTTCCCCATCCCTGGCCTTTGTCCTTTCGAAAGACTCTGACGACTAACTGTACTTCAAGTTATAGCTCTAAACATGCTAAGAAGAGTTGCACTTTCTTCTGCTCCTTCTTCACTGAGGAAAAAGGGAATTCCAAACAATTATGTCATGGAAATATGCTTTCACCATTTAACATCTGGTTTCCTAGAAGAGGCTATGCATTAACTCCAAATTCTTATGTATTCTGTATGTATGCCAGTCATAGGAGCCAAGTGCTAGAGGCTGAGGTCCTTTCACCCCACCAATAAAATATTTGAGGGAGCTGTCCCCCACAAAGTTGATGGGCATTGCGATTCAGATGGTGTTGTGATCGATTATGCAGGGCGGGGCTTACCTCCCCCCCCCCCAATATTTTTTCAAGTTGGCTCCCCTGCCAGTTCTATAATGGGAAGGTATGGCCACAGAAACTCTCACAATGTCACTGGAAAGCATTATAAAATACTATAATGATTTAATAATCCATGGACTCAATGCATTTAGATTCAGGCTTCAATCGTTTACCGTGGGAATAAGCCTAACTGAAGTCAATGACATTTACTTCTAAGTAGACATGCTTAGAGAATGTGTTCTTCCTGTCTAGTGAATCTTTAGATTAATTCATCTTAATTCCTAATTATTATTTCAGGAGTTCCATACCTCTTAGCCCTCAGCATGGGAACTAGAGCCAGGGCTTTCTCGGCTGCGGCTCCAATCTGGTGGAACGCTCTGTCACAAGAGACTAGGGCCCTGCGGGACCTGACATCTTTCCGCAGGGCCTGCAAGACAGAGTTGTTCCACCAGGCCTTTGGTCAGGGCCCAGCCTGACTCCCACCTCCGGCAACCTGCACAGAACTTTGCTTAACGGTTGCCATTAATTTGATTTTAATTAATTTTATAATGAAATGTTTTTAGAATGTTGATTATTTGATTGTTTGATTATTTGTTTGTTGTTAGCCGCCCTGAGCCTGGCTTTGGCTGGGGAGGGCGGGATATAAATAAAATTTATTATTATTATTATTATTATTAAATGTTACATTGCTTTTGTTTCTTGGAAAGTGTTTTTTTGTTTTTTTAGAGGAGGAGTTTCCTCAGACAAAATTGCTGAAAATAAATAAACTGGGCTGAACTTTTCCAAGATGGTATATTCTGTTTGACTTGCAGAAATGTTTTTCCTTTGAACTTACTATAGACATTAGAAAGATGAAATGCATTTTAGAGAATTCTCTGTTAAGGCTAAACAAAGCCGTAAGGCAAAGAATGAAAACGACACTTACTAACAATAAGAAAATGCCAAATATTCTAACCCTTCACTGACAAAATGGGAATGGCTATTGAGACAGACCACAACTTTTCTCACAATAACTACTTGAACCATTCTTAACAGATCAGCAACACTTTCATGCTTTTGAATAGGTGGTATATAACAGCATTTGAAATATTGATATAGCTCAGTACAGAATGCCTTGTTGGAAAGGGGCGATTCTGTGTAAATAAGCTTTGCCTGGTTCTTCCTGCTCAGTACAAGGAAGAGGAGTGCAAGCGAGGCTGCCCCTTCCATTGAAGACTTGTAGTGTGTAGTGCACCCCAAACCCCATGCTTGTAAAGGATCACAAGAGGAAGCAGCAGTAATCTTTATCTCATCTTTATCTTATGTAAGCACATAAGATGTAGAAGCTTATTTGTTTAGATTGGTGGTTCCCAATTAGGGGTCCGGGGACCCCTGGGGGTCTGCAGAATGCACCCAGGGGGTCCACGGGCCCATCCCTCTCCCTCCCAACTATTTTTTTTTTGGTCATTTTTGCATGGTAATATCACAAGTTTTATGGTCTGTTTTAGCACTGTGCCTCAGAAAGTAGCCCTGATATGCCTGTCACAACCATGCAGGGTTATTGGGGCTCGCTGAGCTGGAGGGCAAGGGTCTTCCCTCACCCCCACTGGGCAGCAGGCCAGGGCCAGCTGCATTGGCCCCAGCCTATGAGGCGCTGGGTTGAAAGTGCATCAGCTCATGGGCTGGAGCCAATGCAGCTTATTTCAACATTGTGGTATACCGCCAAACCGTAATGTTTGGCTGGTGATACCCCGTGATGTTGAAAACCTGACATCGCCCAGCCCTAATCCCCACACCTGATCTGCACGAACCCCACCCATCTGTTCCTTCCCTCATCTGCACAAACCCCACTCCATGACTGTTCCTTCCCTCATCCCCATGCATGATCTTCAGTTTCAGACATTGTGATATATCAGAATATTGTGATGTTTAGCTACTGATACATCACAATGTTGAAAACCAGATATCACTCAGTGCTAGTCTGTGGTTTGGTGGGGTTTTTTTATAGTATACCTAACATCCTTTGCAAATTAGGGGCTACCCCACATTTTGTTCAAAAAATGTCTTTGCAGAGGTAACTACCATAGAGTTATCAAAATTATCAAAAGTTGGAATTCTGTGGCTTGGCTTTTGAAAGATAGGGGGTCCTCAGTAATTAGCTAATTGGGAATTGGTTTAGATCAATGGTTGCAAAAGAGTTATGAAGTTTGCAAATAAAATGCAGAAATGTTGCAGAGAAGCCTCCTCTAATTTTACAGCTCCATTTACAGGTTCCAAAATTAAGTGGGAGCTATTTTCATGTGCGGGATTGTACAGTTTTCATGGGCTGACTCACTGGAACTCATCAGAATATTATCCTCCCCAGATTGCTTCTTGTCATCCCAGCCTCAGAGATTGGCAAGGGTGGTCACCAGCTAAACAGATCACACGCAGTCCTACTTCAAACATTCAAGAGGGGAGGCAGTTTCCTCTTGCCTTTATCCTCCCCCATACCTTCCCTCCCAAATACAAGTCAAATTTGCAACGGTTTGAAAATTCAGCTCCCGCCCTATCATGTATCATCAAACTAATCCTCCATGTCAAACATTTCCTCAATACATTTTTGATGCCTGAACTTTCTCCTCAGCCCATGTATATTTGTCTAATTCTTTTTGCCAGCAAATTTGTCTAATTCTTTTTGCCAGCATAATTATTTTTTTGGGGGGGGGGTGTTGGCTTGACCAGTGAACAAGGTTAGAGAGAAGCTGCTCCAAATTCATGTCTTCTTCCTCTTCATAAACAGGGTCATTGAGCAAAGCTGTAAAGTACACCTTCAATTATATCCTCCTCTTATCTTATGAAGAGGGCACAACACACAAGAGGCAAATGGCCAGGGTCTTTCCTCTCCTTAATATTCTGTTTATTATTATTTATTTCTATATCAGTCCAAAGATCTCTGCCCTTCCTTTCCATCATAATCCTCAAGGTAGCATTTTTTATAATGTAAACAGAGAGTATTGAAATTCAGCAGAACTTAGTCACAATGCTCACATTTTTAAAAAAATGAATAAAAATTGATAACAGAAGAACGTACAAAATAGCCCAGAGTTCTGTGAATTGATGATGCAATCCTATCCATGAAAACTTGCTTTGGAGTACCATAAGTTCCATTGGATACAGTGGAACTTCATTCTGAGTGCCTAAAATTCCATATCATTTTGGGTTGACTTTGAAATATTGCCTTAAAAATAGATGCTTGTAGTTTCACATGACCATGCATGATATTGTGTTGTTGTTAGTCTATGTGTTTTTGTGGGTGCGAAGAGAAAGGAATCGGGGGAGAGAGAAGGACTGAAAGCTGTTGAATGCAATGCAATTTATTCTAGCAGGGTGTTTTCAAAATCACAGCCGGAGATGGTAAGGTGATATCTTTTACTGGACTAACTTCTGTTCAGCTTTCATAGACTTTGCCTTGAATTTAGTCTGCTAAATTGAATCTGAGTTTACATACAAACAACCAAGGCTAAATTAGAGTATGACAGCATATAATCAATTCAGGTAATAGGATCTTTCATTACGAGCTTCCAATAGATCAAACAGCTGTGACTTGATAGGAGGTTTAGCAAACAGTTGTTCGATACCACTGTTGGCCCCCGAAAATAAAGAGCATAGAATTGGTAAGGTGATATTTTTTTATTGCACCAGCAGCTGTTAGTATGACAGCTTGCAAGCTCATTTCAGTTCTGAGTTACGCAGAACTCTGGACTGCTTCATACTTTGTTCTTACTTTAGTGTGTACCCATATTGAATGTGATGCAAAATGCCATATATTTACAGGCATATATTTACAGGCATATATGTACAGCAGGATATCTTTGGAAGAAGAAAAGGCTAAGGCGTGAACCCTACGCAAATCTGGTGTGGGTTCCCTAAGACAATCATGGTGCCTTGTTTGCCTCCTTCTGCCAACTCCTGCAGCCAAGCTGGATTACTCTGCTTTCCTTTGGACCGCAAAGGCCAAGGGTGGGGTCTTGCCGCCTGGACATCCCAGGACCTCCATACACACTGCCTAGGCTTGTGCTCTGGGGAGATCACTTCAGCACTGCCAAGTGCAGTGGCTTGACTTCACCCCTGGAGACACACTCCATTGTCTCTCAAGACAGATGTCAACAATATAAACAAGCACAGGGACATGCTGCCAGGGCCGGATTTAGATGAAGAAAGGCCCTACTCCACTTGTGAGGCCCCTCCCCACCCCCACCCTCACAACTAGAAGAAAATGGAAGAGTGTTATAAACAAATTTGAGTGAAGCCCAAGCTTGCTTCAAATTGGGCCCCACTGGCTAGCCCCGAGTCTCATAGTTGTGGGGCCTGAGTTGACCTGCCCTTGCATGAAGTCTTGGGTTTACAATTTTGGGAGAGGGGAGACTGCGGCACTGGGGAGTGGGAGGCATGGCAAGGCCCCCTAGATTTAGAGGCCCTAGGCTTCAGCCTTCTTAGCCGATACATAAATCCAGCACTGACTATAGAGGGAGCCATGTAGGGAAAAAATGAATTATTCTTTAAAACAATAATATGCTCAAATCATCTGCTTGTTACTGCCTATAATCAGTAAGACAATCCAACAAAGCACTTGAGTTGCAGAATCAAAATCAATAACAAACCACAACTCTTCCTTGCCTACTCTACCTCCCCTGCTACTTCTGGAAAGCACCCTTTGCAGAATAAGCAAAGGTAGACAATAGCATTCCAGCTTCTCATTAATATTGCTAGACATTTGTAGCAATATTGCATTCAGGGACTAATCCATTCTGGGGACTGACCTTTTCGTGAGAATACCAGCTACTCAAGGTCCTGACCCCAGACTGAAATATATGTAATAATTTCAATAAGAGCTTCTTGAAGCACATCTAACGGTGCCCTTGGTTCTTTTATAGTATCTGGAAGAAGTTTAAGCTTTAAAAATAGAATTCAGGCCTTGAACCACTCCCTGTTTCCTGGTACTGTACTGCTCTAATATAGCCTACCCAAGGAAGGAGAAGGGCTACGGACAGTTTGAAAGAGCTCTGGTTTCTGACTTATTAATTGCAGCTCACAGGAATAGCAAAGGAGATCTGCGGTGGAGGACAGAAATACTTGTAAAGTGTGTGGCCACTTCAACATGCTGAGAGGGTTTAGGAGAAAACCACATATGGGTTACTACATGGAGGGTACCAAGCACCTTTATTAGCAAGGGATGCAGATAGTGCTGTGGTCTAAACCACTGAGCCTCTTGGGCTTGCCAATCAGAAGGTCGGCGGTTCAAATCCCCAAGATGGGGCAAGCTCCCGTTGCTCTGTCCCAGCTCCTGCCAACCTAGCAGTTTGAAAGCATACCAGTGCAAGTAGATAAATAGGTACCATGAAGGTAAACAGCGTTTCCGTGCACTCTGGCTTCTGTCACGGTGGTCTGTTGTGCCAGAAGCGGTTAATCATGCTAGCCACATGACCTGGAAAGTTGTCTGTGGACAAACGCCGGCTCCCTCGACCTGAAAGCGAGATGAGCGCAGCAACCCCATAGTCGCCTTTGACTGGACTTAACTGTCCAGGGGTCCTTTACCTTTTACCTTTATTAGCAAGGGGCATTTCAGTAATATACAGAAGGGTTCCATCCTGTGTTTGCCAAAATCCAAAATCCTCCTTTCCATCCACTAACTCTGACAAAGAACTTTTAGTGCTATAGGTGATTAAAGTGAGTGGTGGCGCAAAGCATCATGAGCATGAAAGCTGAGTGAAATGGTTGTAGAAAAACAACAGAGTCTTGTGGCACCTTAAAATGTTGGATCTGGGCTTAGTTGTTGAACACAGTTCCCACAGAAATCCATGACACCTAAGTCACTGGGCTCTAACTTCGGCTAACCAGCAGTGGCAGGTGAGAGAGGGTGGAGCAGAAATGGCTTCCTCTTGGTGGTAGGACTGTGTTTGCCAGCGTGGAGGTTGGGCGAGGTGAGGTTGGGGAAGCTCTGCCAAAAAGAAGCTCCCACAACATGCCTTACAGTTTGGATGGCACCACCCCCCCTCCCTCGTGCGCCTCCTATGCAGATTTGTTGTTGCACAAGCTTTTGTGAACTAGAGTCCACTTCAAGCCTACTTTGGACTGTAGCTTATGGAAGCTTACAGTACAAGAAGCCTTTAAACTGCCATTAAAAGACCCTGGCTGGATCTAGACATATCAAAAAAACGACTCAGTTAAACGCGTTGTAAACTTCATAAAGGGAAATCCAGTTGGCGAAAGACGGGACTCCGCAGCGCCATCTGGTGTTACAGTGTTACAATGTATATAAAGCATTTTCTTTACCTATGTAGCCGAGTCCCCTGAAGCTATTGTGCCATAACTTCCATCAGTCCAAGCTAACATGGCCCAATGGTAAGGAATTATAGAAACTGTAGGACAAAGCCCAGCAATGTCCTCGTCCCAGTCTTAGAGTTTCCCCTTCTACTTCCTTTTTGCTGCTGTTCCAATAATTATATGTTTCAGGGCAATGGCCACATAATAATTAGGTTACTCTGTGTTTATATCACAGGCTCCCCCCCTGCTCTGTTCATCAGCAATGCAGAGAAATGGATCCTGCTTCACATTCTACAACAAGTCTTGGGTCTTCAACAGTCTTGCAAGTTCAGAATGAATCAGAAGCCATGAAGCAAACTAAATTAACAATAACTAAATAACTGATATCACTAAATAACCCTTTAGACAAAATATCAAGTACAAGAGGTCCCTGAAATCCACTGGGAACTCCCAAATTCATTTTCTGTTTGTAAACAAAGGCACATGAATTCTATAAATATGGATTACTCTGTTACACTCAACATTATTTCAATCACAATATTTGTTATTTGAAAACAATTGGAGAAGGAAAAACAAAAAATGAACTAGGATCAGCTTAGGTGGCAGGAACCTATTCAATGAACAGAAATTCCAGTTTGGTGATTATAAGAAACCTTAGGACTCTTTATGTTTTTCAGGGATGTGAGTTTCAATAGATCCAAAGAGAACATTTTGGATGAAAACAGCATGCTTAATTGTTCGTTAAAAAGTTTTCTAAGCTACAGCGGCTGCGAGAGTGGTGTATTAAAACTGATATGTATTAGTGTTACCAAGTAATATCCTAATAAGGGGCAACTTACCTCCATATCCCAAAAGGTAAGTGTTGCTTCTTCCTTACCCCCAGTATAAAAGCCAACTTTTACCCATCAGCTGGCCAGGATGGGGAAGAAGCAACTTAGCATACAATTCCTATGCCTGTCAACTCAAAAGTAAGTCCCACCGAATGCAATGGCGCTTTCTGCCAGGTAAGTGGGTGTAGGGTTGCAACCTAAATATATTTGCAACATGTGCTGCAGTGCAAAGAGGCAATTAAAATGTACAGGGTATCAAGTCTAATCTTGTATCTCATTATACACTGTCTGGGACCCAGAAAAGTTTTTTGGCCCTAGCATTCTGCATCTAAATCAATGTGGCTCTCAGATGGTACAAGTGAAGGCCAGTTCTGTTTTTGGAAATGGAGAAAGGCGCATTCAGCCCATCCACAGATTTGTCTACAGCTGTCACTTACTTGTGCAGAGCGGTGGAGAAACGCAAGCTGCATCAAGCAACAGACATATTCCGGATGGCTTCAGTGCTGACAACAGCTGGCCACTCTTGTTCATAGTCAATAGACTGTCAGAATTGATCTATATTTGGCAGCACCTTTGACCTGGATCAAATTTAAACACTGCTGCCCAGACCTTAGCACTCAATATAACCTTGATCTGTCTATCTGTCCGTCTATCTATCTCTAAGGGAGATTTAAATGGGAAAACTAAGAAGGAAACAAAAAGGCTGGCCTGCAGAAAAACAACAAGTTTCCCAGTGCCGGACCTACTGTTAGGCAGAGTGAGGCAGCTGCCTCAGGCAGGGTTTTTTTCCTTGTCACAAAAGGGCAGCAAATAGTTATTTAAATTGTCATTGTTGTATTTTCACTGTTGGCAGGGGGAGAAACTTGTGGGATTTTCTGCCTCTGGTGCCAAAATAACTTGGCTGGCCTTGGGTACCATCCACCTTGACTTGTGGCGAGGGCCTCTATTTGCTGCTTTGCCTCAGGCAGCAAAGGGTCTTGAGCCAGCCCTGCCCACCTCTGAGTCATCTGGGACCCTCCAGATGTTGTTGGACCCTACAGGCCACATCCCTCTCTCCCCAGACCACGCCTCTTGCTGGCCCTGCCCCACATGCTAATTGAGGATTATTTCGCCTGGCTGGAATATCTTCTTGAACTGTGATAATGTCTCTTCCTTGCCTGGATGGAGGTGTGTGTGTGTGTGTAAACCTCTAGCTTTTGTGTGCCTGGAATGTAGCTTACAGTACAAAGGCAAGAGTCTTTTCTGTTGGTCCCCCCATTTTGTCTCTGGCTTGCGGTTCCCAGAATGTTGTCTCTGAGGAAATGGGGGCCTTGGGCTCAAAAATCTTCCTGAAGACTTGACCAAAGCGCTCCCCATCTCTAACACAGTGCGTCCTCAGAGCCATGTAAAGTTGGGAGAAAACACAAAAGCAAATGGAGATATCCACATGTGCCCCAGACCATGAATGCGTTTATGAAACAATACCGACCTGCCCCCCCCCCCAAAGGTGGCTAGCTCAACTCATGCTGATCACGTGTTGGACAGGAGTGTCAGTCCTTAGATGATTCACCAAAGGACAGCCAGCTTTAAACATCCAGTGAGGCCCTACCTTCCCATTGCCCAGACAGCATGGCTACAGAGCCAACGGCTAGTGTCTGCCCTTCTAGAGTTCCATGCAGCCACCCCCTCACAAGGGAGGTGAAAGCCAGAGAACCAGATGCCTTATTCATTATATGCAGGTCCTCTGATGGGGCACTTTATGGTAGTTCTGTGCATTCCTGAGTTCAGCTGGCCAGCACCAGAGACAGGTCATTAATGTGGCAGGCCCAGCCCTGAGGAACTCTCCACCAGCAGATGTTCAGTAAGAGCCATCTCTCACTTCAATCAGATGACTCATACCTTCCAACATTTCTCTGATGAAAATAGGGACATCCTATATAATAATAAATGGGACGCGGGTGGCGCTGTGGGTAAAAGCCTCAGCGCCTAGGGCTTGCCGATCGAAAGGTCGGCGGTTCGAATCCCCGCGGCGGGGTGTGCTCCCGCTGCTCGGTCCCAGCGCCTGCCAACCTAGCAGTTCGAAAGCACCCCCGGCTGCAAGTAGATAAATAGGGACCGCTTACTGGCGGGAAGGTAAACAGTGTTTCCGTGTGCTGTGCTGACTCGCCAGATGCAGCTTGTCACGCTGGCCACGTGACCCGGAAGTGTCTCCGGACAGCGCTGGCCCCCGGCCTCTTGAGTGAGATGGGCACACAACCCTAGAGTCTGTCAAGACTGGCCCGTACGGGCAGGGGTACCTTTACCTTTACCTATATAATACTGTAATAATAATAATACTTTTATTATTTATACCCCACCCATCTCACTGGGTTGCCCCAGCGACTCTGGGTGGCTTCCAGCATATATAAAAACATAATAAAACATTGAACTTTAAAAAACTTCCCTATACAGGGCTGCCTTCAGGTGTCTTCTAAAGATTGTATCTCCTTGGTTCAGGGGTCACATAACTCCAAAGCCTCCAACATTTCTCAGATGAAAAGAAGGACATCCTAAGGAGTAGCAGGACATTCCAGGATCAAATCAGAAACTGGGACAGCTTCTGTAAATCCGGGGCTGTCCCTGGAAAATAGGGACACCTGGAGGGTCTGACGTCTTCTGAAAATTATACTGCTTAGACAGGACTTTTTAACCAACCAATATTTACTGATGTTTTAAATGTTGCTTTTGTGCTGATTTTATTTTCCTGTGTTGCACTTCACATTGGATTTCTTTTAAAATAAAAGTGTGGGTTTTAAATACACAAATAAACAAATTTGAGCAGTTGAAAATGCCACCATTGCAGAATCAAAGCCAGTGCGAACATTAATGCTAGAGGGGGAAGTTGCTTCCAGTACTCCAAAAGAGAGAGCATTTTCTGTACAAGCCCCAAGCTTTGAATCTCTATTCTGAGTGGTATTCAGAGCCCATAAAAATAGTCTAATAGGCCACGTCCCATGAACCAGACCAAAATGCTTTCAGGCATCCTCTCGTTTGGTGTTGCTAAGGGAACACAGGGAAATGTGCTATAATTGAACCAATGAAGAGTGTGACAGACAGCGAGGGAGAGCATGTGTATGATACTTGTTGTAACACTGATTGCCTGATGGAAAAAATGTTTTTATTTAGGTAATTGCCTCCTTCCAAGCTACATGAAACACAGCAGCTTTTAGGAGATTATTAACTCCAACATGATTGTCCATTAACCAAATATGAATATCTGTTAACACAAAGAATTTCCCCTGCAAAATCCAGGAAACAAAAAAACCAGCAACAGAACAGAATGATCAGATGTCAAGAGAACATCTCAAGAGGCAAATGATACATGAATTAAAAGGCAACTAGACGCCCAAGGCCACAATTATAGCCTGCCTATGGGTTAGACATCTAAAGCAGCGGTGGGGAATCTTTCTTTTTTAGACCAAGGACTACATTAACTTCTGGGCAACCTTCAAGGTGCCACATGTCAGCGGTGGATGGGGTCAGAGGCAACAGTGAGCTGAGCAATCAGTGTAACTTTCCCCTATGTACAGTGAGCTAGCGTCTATGCACACTCTCATATCCCTCTCTGTTTTCCATCCAGGCAAGCAAGATGCATTAACAGAGTTCAAGCCAAGCACATTCCAGCCAGGCAAAAACACTCAAGGAGGCTGCAAGGTAGGGCTGGTGAGGAGGTGTGGCCAGGAAGGGATCTGAGGACTACATAAAGGCCAGGAGGGCTGCATCTGGCCCCTGGGTTGAAGTTCTCCAACCCTGCTCTAAAGAAAGTAGAGTAGGTCCCAGAGAGGCTTGGGTTGCTCTTAACCTCACCAACCACCATCAGCCACTGTTCTGCCTTTCCAATGACAGTTGCCACCATCTGGGTAGGAAGGTGCCCAAGCAACCCCCAGAACCACAGCCTCTCCTATTCCTAGGCTCTCTATGAGGTTTTAGCTCAGCCTTGCTGTTACCTTGGTCACTCCTTTCTTTAACTCCTCACCTCCACCAACCTGTTTTGTCCTGGCTATGAAGCACCCAACCCCCTCTTTCTTACTGAACCCATTCAGTGGTAGAGATGGATGAGCTGCTGAACAGGCAAGTTGGTTATAAATTCCTAAGCGGCCCTTGAGACTTTAAGAGATGCCTCTAATTCTTTCCTGAATGCAGATATAGCACAGTACGACGACAGCCTAAATGACAATAGCTCTGACCCAGCATGAGAAAGTCATGCAAGCTTCTGCACTTGAATTCTGTGATTGGGCTGGGTTCCATGTTCACAGCAGGGTCTCCACTCTTTCCCACTGAAATCAATAGTATCTAAATATGCTGGAGAACCATACTTTCAGTTTCCACATTCATGTCCATTTATTTCAACTGACTAAAAATAGCCACTTTAATCTATAGTGTATTGTGGTGCAGAAGACTTTTGCATAAGAGGAGACACGGTTTCAACCACCCTTTGTTGCCCCAAATTTTGAAACCTTTGGGGAACCTAATAATGTCAGCTATATTTTGACTGCATCTGTCTTGAAATACATACATGTGTACCCTTATGTGACAACTGCATAGACAAATCGGGAGCTGACTATTTATATACTGTAGCTCAAAGGCCTGAATGGGCAGATTCACCATTTCTACTTGGGAGCAGCAGTGTGGAGCAGCGCGGTTGGGGCTTTTAGCGTTGGGGCTGCATTGCCGCCCTGGCTTCCCTGTGAAGGTTCAAATGCCAAGCAACGTTGCACTGATTTCTGTTGGATGGGTTAATAATAAAGATGTAAAGTATCCAAGTCCTAATCTGTTTAAGGCTGTATAGACAAGAACAAGCACCTTAAACTGTGCTCGGAAAATGCACAGCAATCCAGTGCAGACCCTATAACTCTGGAGTAACATGCTCTAAATATTTGGTTCCAGGTAGAAATCCTGCGATTTGCAGCAGCTGAAGATTCCAAATGCTTTTCAGGGAACTTGCTATACTATGCCATTGCCAATCCTTTTTCTTGGTTACACTTGCGACATCTCACAAAAAGAGTTCATGTGGATGCAGATAGTATGCATTCATTTCAAGGGAGAAACCAGTCTCTACACCTCTTTGGCCTTGTCCCAATGGGATGCTTTGAACAACAACAACGCTTT